CCGCTGGCTGCCTCATTCCCTCTCCCCTTATTGAGTGCCGCTACTTCATTGTGCCCTTTGTGGTCTGGCGTCTGTTAACTGCGCCAAATTCGGCAACTGTTCCCGTCGCGTGGCTGATTGCTGTGTCCGAGGTGTTCTTAAATGTGGCAGTCAATTGTATTACAGTGTACGTCTTCCTTTACAAACCCTTTTTCTGGAATTCACAGGCCTCCATCCCACAGAGATTTATGTGGTGACATTTCTGTGGGTTTATTTATTTACTAGCTTCTGTACGTCTTTTCCATGTTTTGCCCATTTCGGCTGTGATTGGGTAACTTTGATTAGAGACCCCCTTTTCCCTTTTATCGTTTTTGTTGTAGTGTTGCAGTAGTTTGTTTTAATCTGCAATATCCACTTTATTTAAATAGCAAGGTATAAACGAGGATTTCATACCGTTTCAACGGTTGGGTGTTTCGTATCTTCTTCCCCTCGATTTATATGGTCTGGATGTGAAACTATGGGAGAAATTTATGAAGGGAGCTGACCGACCTCAGTCTAAGAAGAGAATGATAAAGTCTGTGCAAAATAGCAATTTGTCTGATCCTTTCTTTAAACTTGAAAGGTTGGATTCAAACGGCGAACCGAACGAAATTCGTCTCCTAGGGTAACCGCTATACCGCCGCTCTTTTCGTAAAAGATTTTATCCGTAAATTAGATCATCTCTCACTCGTCATCGTTGTTGTAATCTTGCCAAAAGCCAAGATTGTTTACCGTCCCAAACGCTTTGTTTCAATCCTCCAAGGAGACAAAGGCGCTAGAAAATAAAATCTTTGTTGCTGCGTACCTAGCACAGGATATTTAAGCAAGCAAGCCTTACAAAACAGGACCAATCAGACTGTGTCCCCGAGCGAGTAGCGACTCGATTGGCTTTCTGATTCATCCGGCTGGCATTTTAGAGCCTAGCCGCAGCTGTGCGCTGCATAACTACGTGCTTTGTGTGTGGGCGGACCAATAGCGTGGCGTTAGATCGGCTCGCCAGGGCTGCATGCGAGCAGGCGGCTCCTAACAATCACCACTTTCTGTACCTTAGATTCCGAACGATTCCATCATCTAGCATTTATGGGCCTCCGTGGGAACCCTATTAATTAGCATTGTAACCTTCACTCTGCCTTTTAGTCCAAGGTTTTGCCAAGCTTACTCCTGCATACCTAGGGTATGCCTCTCAGGGCTAGGGTACTTATCTCTCAGGTCGGAAGACACAATCATAAGCGCTCTGTTTGATCGCGGCTGATGGTCAGACGTAGGCTGGGTACTTATAAGCCTTAAACCGCTTTCTATGTTTCCCACAGAAAATAAACGCATTCTTCACTATCTGATGTACTAAGAACCTATACTGGGCGTGTAGTCAGTTTCTGGGTTTGTGACTAGAGAACGAAGAGTCATACTGAAGAGTCATACTATCTGATGTACTAAGAACCTATACTGGGCGTGTAGTCAGTTTCTGGGTTTGTGACTAGAGAGTCATACTGAAATGGCTCCTTCGGGTCAATCACACCCATGTGAGGTCCAATTCGCCCCTATTTTGACTCTAGAGGCCCCTCCTTTTTGTTCTCGGTGATAATTGCATATCGACTTACAGTATAAATGCAAATAATAAGTTAGGAGAAACATGACCTGTTTTTGCCTATTGTGGAATTTCGCAGCCTTTGTTCTCATAAGTGCCCTTCATGTCCATATACAGGTCAGTACTGAATTCTATAACGTGTATGGAACTTCTTCGTTATCTCGTAGTATTCATGCAGAGGGATTAGAGTAAATACAGGCACAAACCAGCGTCTTATGAAGTGCACGTGGGCTTTTTTTACGAATTCAGTGATGACGCTTTTCGCAAAATTTTAATTTCAGGATTAGGCAACTTCGGAAATGACCACATGACGTGCGCCTTTTGTAGGAGTAATTAACCGTTTTGCTGTAACCAGTTACACTTTACGAAATCTTTTTATTCCACGCATACCTGAGATTTTAATAGCTAATTACTCAGCTGGTGGGCACAGACATAAAATGACACTCGATACGAATACACTGGAACCTCGTGTGACAAGCAGCCCAATCTACGAGCATCCCACTCAACGAACAAGTCATTTTGCAGAAAATGTGTTTCGATTTATGAGCTTCCGCTCAGTTGACGAGTAGTCAGTGTGTGGGTGTGTGCCTGCGTCCAGCGCTGCTGGGCTGCGGGAGCACGGCGAACAGTGAGAAACTCCTGGAACTTCAGAAGGAGCTGAATCAAGAAGAGGTAAAAGAGCTCTCATCAGGGGAGGTGCGGGAGGATACCACCTCTTCGAGTGAACTAAGGGAAGTGTATGGAATGTTTGAACAGATGAACGTATTATTGGACAAGTATCTTCTTGATAAGGGAGTGACTGTACGGTGTGTGGACTTGTTTGATGACAACTTACTGTCACATTTTAGGGACACCCTAAAACGAAAACAAAAGCAATTTTCAATGCATATTTTCTATGGGAAGGTGCAAAATAGACGACTAAACGAGAGTAAACCACAATCCGGTTCCAGTGGTTTAACATTCACAAGGGGAGATAGAGCTCGTCTGACTCAGGCGTAGACTCTCCTCTCCCTCCCTATCCTGTAGCTCAAGCCAGAAACGACTCTTCATAAGACAATTAAAACAATAAAAAGGCAAAAAATTAGGAATATTAAAATTACATTATCCAATTTCATTTTAATGTTTTTCGGGGGGTGGAACGGATTAGTTTGATTTTCATTAGTTTAAATGGGAACATTTATTTCGCAAGACGAACTTTTCACGTGACTAGCTCGGTTCCGGAACGGACTAAACTCTTTAACCGAGATTCCACTGTACATTCTAGATCTGTTTAGTTTTATTGCAGGACTACATATATGCAGTCTTTTTCCGCGGTCAACCTATTTTGAGATTTTTTCAGCTGATCGCGAGTTTTCACCCATACTGCTTGGGAAAGAAGACGATTTTACCCAATTAGCGTAGCCACTGACTATCGGACCCCTGGATGGGTGGTGAATAGTGAAATAGCTTTTAGTGAGAGCTTGCTGCGACCGGGGCAGACTCTGTCCCGAAAAGACAAGCTCGACATTATCCAGGCGTATTGGGGCTTGGCAAGCTGGCTGTCGTATAAAACGCTGCAAAGCCCGATGACGGCATTGTGACATGATGACTTCGAAGTTGCATGAAGTATGTTTGCTCGTCACCATCGCTTTACTAGCTTCAAACTTTGGTGATATACAGTCTATTGTGTCGCGAGTGACGGGGATCGCTAAATTGGTCGGTTTGTCCTTAAACGCATAGAAAACCAGCGTTGCTGCATCCCCGTCCAAGAGAAGGCACCTCTCGAGATTAGTCGCTGGACGCCGGAAGAAGTAAACAATTTAAAATACCTCGGGGCGAGGCTGCTGCCAAATGGTCATCGTAATCGATGCAGTTTGTAGAGTTTTCTCAAGCCTTGGAAGGTGTCTATAGACTACTTACTTACTTGTACTTGATTGGATTAGCTCCTGTTGTTGGATGAATTGGCTTCACTGATGTCACGAATAGCGGCGGCCCATTGGCGGCGGTCAGAAGCGAGCTCTTCA